TCCTACTCCTCTTCTTCTTCCTCCTCCTCTTTCTCCTCCTCCTCCTCCTCCTCCTTCCCCACCATCCCCATCCTCATCCTCATCCTCATCCTCTTCCTGATCCTCCTCCTTTTGCTTCCCCACGCATTCCCCGAAGGCTTTCGAAACCGACTCGGGGAACAACTGGTCCGATAGCTTGGTCGATCTCTAGACCAGCTGTCGGCCACATAGGCGCTTCCACAAGGGCAGGGGGCGGCGGTGATTCGCCGTAGGCGTCTTTGATATTCCTTTGCGAAATCACACCATGCGGGGCACATGGGAGCGCCGCCGCGCGTGTGTCGAACTCTTTCAGAAGCCATCGGTTTTCTTCAGCATTCAGAACACATGTGTTCACAAGCTACCAGAAGTTGTTACTGTATCAACAATTTGCCAGATTTCTGCGCTCGCGCACTTGCTGGAAACAGAAGGTTGAATCGTTCTGGGATGCGAAAGCATACGGGCAACACACGCGCGCAGGTCGAACACGCTCAACAACCATCGCGTCACTGAGCGTCAAATCATACTATGCGGGCCACGCTCGCGTGTCTCTGCGCGCGCACGTCGAAACCCTTCCCACAACATTGGTATTCTACGCATCTTATCACACAGATATTTATCGCACCAGCTTTCCAACACATTTGGAGGAAGCTCGGGATTTCTGTGAGGGCGCACGTCCTCACCATTCCAATCGGCACAGTCGTCATCGTCATCGCCAGCGTCATGAGTGCCATTGCCATCGTCAATCACCATCACCAGCATCATCATCACCATCATCGTCACCATCATCATTCTCATCATCCTCGCCATCGTCATCATCACCACCACCATCATCAGCGTCATCATCGTTACCACCATCACCCTCATCATCATCATCACCATCATCACCATCGTCATCACCACCACCACCATTGTCATCATCACTCTCATCATCATCCTCATCATCATCACCATCATCACCATCACCACCACCAGCATCGTCATCACCACCACCATCATCATCGTCATCATCATCATCGTCTTCATCGTCATCATCACCGCGGTCATCATCGTTATTGTCGATGTCGTCGCTCTCACCAAAGTGCTGCGAGCACGCACTTTCGCATCATCCTCACCAAAACCATCGTCATCATCGCCAGCGTCATAATTGCCACTGTCATCATTCATCACCACCATCAACTTCATCACCATCACCGTCGTCGTCATCGACGTCGTCCCCACCATCCTTATGAACATCATGCTCGTCGTCGCCGCTGTCGCCGCTCGATTGAGTGGGCGGGTGGGTGGGATGTGCACGAGCGTTGAAGGTGGTCGCAGGCGGATGTTTTCAAATTTCCTTCCACTGGATAGATTGCCCCACATATGTTCCTTGTCCTGGGAATAATTAGACTGGACTCCCGAACCTAGGCCAGGGCTCGCGGTTTCCATCGGGGTCTTGCTCTTTTCCTATTAATTCTGCGCGATGATTCATCCTATGAGTCAATCCTATGAGTCTGCCGGTGGACCGGCCTGTTTTTGGGGCGTGGAAGGAGGTCCCCCCTGGTCCTAGCGCACGCCTAGCAGTACCTCGTGGCAGGGGTAGCCCGAAAATTCCTCACCACCGGGGGGACCTCCTTACACGCCCCAGTCAACAGGCCTGCCCACTCATCCAGCGTTGGGGCGGGCTCATTACGGCGACGCCGTCGAGGGCGCGCCGCGGCCCCTCGCTGGGCGCGGCCAGCTGGTTTGCGCATGAAGCAGCATACTCAACCACGGCCTCGACGGCTCCCTGAGCTTGCGACGCTGGCGACGACGACAACGCTGAACACGACGCCGTCGTCGTCGCCCCCCTCCCCCCGGGCTCCGAACCCAGAGGAGAACCCTACAAGCGATCACAGGAAACGCCCTTGCTGACCACAAGAAACCAATGCTTTCAGGACGCGTTTTCGCTGTCCTCAGAAAATGCGAGCCCGACCAAACAGGTTCTCCCTGAAGGCGAGCACTCTCAGTCACCGACTGAGTACCAGTAGGGTGGCCTTCCGGAAACTAACGTTCGGCTTCGGCGGGCTCAATGCCGCCAGCCCCCCTTGCCTTGGGAGCTGCTGTGCCCCAGGCGAGAGCACGGCCGCCGCAACATGTCAAACAGGTCGCAGCACGTGATCAGACCCAGGGCTGAACCTAAACGGTGCCTTTCGTTTTCGTCTTGGTTTCTTTTTCCCTCGTTCTGTCTTCAACCCGCCTTTACCGCAGAACGAAATCGAAACGAAAACGGCCCACGAAATCGCCAAGCAAAACACCGTTCAGGTCCAGCACGTGATCAGACCGTGCCCTCTCGGCCCGCAGACAAACAAAGAACAGGCCACGGCATGAGCACAAAGCTTCTGGAGCTCCGCGCGAAGCTCCGACAGCTTGTTCCGCAGCGAGCCCAAGGGAGGGACGTGAGCGAGGGGGCAGGCCTTCTCGCAGGGCGGCGGGGCTTCTCGGAAGCCCCCCCCCCCGCCTTCTG